CCCCCCCCCCCCCCCCCCCCCTCCGACGAGAAGAGAGAACGTCCGTCTGCAGCCACACCCCGAACATCTTCTCTGTCCCGAGACACACTATTGGGGCCTCTTAAAAATCCGATAGGCCACGACGAAAGGCAACCGCCACCTACACAAAATATCTAGTGGGTGCTTCAATGCACAGACGCACCAAAGACTTTGATACCCCCATTCTTGATTCCAATCCGAGTAGTAAATGAGATGCGTCTACTTGTACAGGTAAGTTCATTTGGGTCCAGCTCCGACCCCAATCGGTGTCGAAGACACGGCGAGACCATACAAAAACAACCCCAAAAAGACCGATTAGACTACCACCAAAAACGATCTCCTCGCAACGCCAGCAAGCAGTCGCACAGACAATAGCAACGCACACGGGTATGTTAAGCCCGAATACAATTATCGGATAGCCAAACAAAAACGGGCGGGCACATGCGACGCTGCATATCGTCCGTGAAACGGGGGACAGCGGCGCCGACAAATCAATGCCGTAAGCTCTTGCCGGCCTCACGCTCTCCTTCATTCGCCTGCGGAGCACGCTGACCGGGGAATAAATATCCTGCGGGGCCCCTCCCCCCTCCCCCCTGCCACCGCCCCCCCAGCACAATCGCAACACGTCCACCCCGCCGACGAAAAAAAAACATGAGCTCAGAAACTGAGCCAGCCCCACAGCACAACCAAACAGGGGCCACCGACCGACCTCGTACTGCTCAAGGATGGCCAGCGAACGCGACAAATGTCATATGATGCTGTACGGGGTACAGCTCCCGCTCGAACCGGACACCTCTTCCCCTTCTCGGCTCAAAAAACAGTGTACTGCATCGCTCGCACCCGAAACGGACGAGCCCAGCGCAAGCGCCCGAGAAGCCTACAGCGGTACATCCATCAGCAAATATTTCGGCGTTGCCCCCCGCCCTCAAACAGCGATGAGCAGGAACAAAAAGCGAAACGATTTCCCGGGACAGCGCAAGCACGCTTTCACGCAACGGGTTTCCAACGCAGACGACACGCAACGCTGAGACGCAGCAGCAACCAAGACTCTATGCCGCCCGCGTATGCATACAAGCTATAGCGGCCGTTTTCTTTCATCGCTCGCTGTCCCTACACCCGCCGCGGCCACATCCCGACAGACACCGTTCTCGGCGACTACCGTACCGCCAAAAAACGATATTCGCCGAGCCCCCAAGCGCGGTAGACGCCAAGCAACGAAACCGGCTCGTCACGTACTCCTTGCTTACAGGTACGAAGTACAGCTATCGTCGGTCGTGTCCTGGGGGTGTCTTCTACTGTACACACCGTTTCGGCCTCTAAATCTAGAACGACGCTCTTCGAGCGAGCCGCGGGAAAACAAAAAATCAACGTGGCTAGCTAGCTACACACCCGACGAACCCTACAAACCAGTAAGAATAACAAATTGCAGTCGAATCCCGACCACTCGCAGACACAGAACTATGCTCGAAACGTGCAGAATCCCGTGAGATGCAGAATCCCGTGAGGGAAGTTCATGTGCAACGCAGGGAGAGAGAGACAACATATATTGTTGGCTGACATGCAAGGCCAGAAAAAAAATACTGACGACATGGAAAGCGACAGAGAAGGGAAGTCTGCAGGCTAACCCTAGACCTCATCGCACGCACCCGAAAATCGAGTGAACACATGACACACCCGCCCGACAGTGGCACTCCTACTAACAGCAGTGAGCTTTCCACTGGAGCGGATAGAACACGAAACACGCACGACTGTGGCCCCAAGTGGTGTTACCCATTCCCTCGCTCATGTACAACGTGCAAAAGGGCTAAATAAAACACTAAAAAAAAACACCACGGCACCACGCCTCACATCGACAAACGAACCCACCCTACATGCCCTCCCCAGCATGTTTGACTTGCGAGGGACGCCCACGACCTAACGCTCCCCAAACCCAAAACGCCGCAACACAAAGTAGCAAACGAGAAACCAGTAGATACTATAATACATGGGTGCAAGTTCCAGGAGACAAAAGAGGCCACGAGGCCACACAGCAAGAGCAGCGGTCAACGGCGATATAGGCCACGCGACGACGAGCCAGGCAAAGGCAAAAGTATTATTTTTGCCTTCCGAGCCCAATTGAATCCACAGCACCCACACAGCAGCGGCCAGGCAAACCGTCCAGCGCACCCCAACACAAAAAAAAAAGGATGACATCCCCTCTCTACAAGAGAAGACGAACGCGACGTCCAACTCCTCACAGCGCCCAAGAGCGGTGCAAGCGTCGAGCCCGAAGGGACACGACGTACGGCCCCGAAATCCTCCACGACATCAATTAGAGGCCCGCGATCTCACCGTGCGGTACATGTACCGCACCGTACCGAGCAGAGCAGCGGCTGCCCACCCGGAAGAGGCCTCGCTTCTTTCGGCCCCAGAGCACCAGGGCCTCCCCCCGCTTCCCCGACACATGCCGAAACTAAATATTACCGTGAATAAAAACCCCCTTTTCACTGGTCTCCCCGCGCACAGAGGCGACGTGCCGTCAGTCAGCGCTTGTCACTGACTGGCCTATTTCGTTTCACCATAATTCAAGCAAGAACGCAGCATCCATTTCACAGGGATTCACTTATCTCATCGTCCACAACCCGTGCACACTTGAAAAGAAGCGCCGTTCGATTTTCATCTTCCTCCAGTCTGGAATCGTACAAGTATCCATTAAATAACGCTTTGCACTGCTAGCGCCGCCCATGTCGAGAGCACAGAGCGCGGCGCAACAAAGAAAAACTGATCCCGATCCAACCTCGCTTGATATTCTAGCGAGGCGTCATGCCCGCAAACCTCGTGACTCATGCGGAAGAGAGGAAACTGGACACGAAAAAAAAAAAATGCTTGAGCAGCTATGCATTGCATAACGTGCGCCTCGTGCGTGAGGCCGGTAAAAAAAGAAATTTAAAGAAAAAAAAATGGAAGCGCGCGGAGGGGAGCGAGAGCGATCACACGGCTCGGTCCAAATAAAACGTCAAAGGGCTTTTCCGAACGAGCACGTAAAAATCTCATCATCATCATCACGATCAAAAAGCAGGGTCGCCGGCTGATGCTGCAAGCACATCAGTATATCAACGTGCTCATGTTGATAACGAAGCTGCCTGACGCTATCGCGATGGCGGGCAGGAAGTGATACCAGGTCAGCGCAGTCATCCTGGGACGTGAGAAGAAGCAAAGCACAGAAATTAAAGGGGAGACGTGCGTCAGGGAAAGCGGGGGGGGGGG